GTTTGAGTGTCTAACAGCCCAGCATTTACTTTAAACAGTTTTATGTCACTGCATGCATGCTGTGCAGGAAGTTTTCACTAGTAATTAAAAAAAAAAAAAATAAAAATTAAGAATTAAAACCAGAACTCCACTACAGTTCCAGAGATTTGAGATTTTCCCTAGTATACGCATGAAGTAATAGCTGTAATAGCTTCAGAAGGTCCTCAGTTGGCACTCCAGGACAGCACACCTAAACCACTCTTGCCCTGGAGGAACACACATTAATACAAAGAACTTTGAAACACAAAATTAATTCCAGATGAACGTCAAAAGTGGATCAGATGTCACTAAGCATATGGACAACCCTCACCAGGCTGGAAAATCATCTCCTCCTCAGCCCAAACACAGTCTTTACCTGGAGGCCCTCACAAAGCCAGCCTTACCCAGAACCATCTTCTGAAGGTGGCTGGGCAGGGGAATAGCTCACTCTCTGGCTTTGCTCCATCTTTGACCACTTCTTCCCAAAACAGCAGGACTGCAGAAGGCAAGCTAGCAGATATCAGAGCTGCAGCTCCACACCTGACAACACACATTGGTATTTCTCAAACACGTTTCCCAGCATCACTTTATTGGGAAAGGCTATTAGGTTTCACTTGGAAGTAGTTTTTGGATCTCCTGGAGGTAGTGAGAACTGTAAGGGAACTAAACAAGGGAGAAGCATTTTAAAAAGAAGCCAGTATGTATTTTATAAATGTCTGTCCTCACAGTTTCCTTGCTCCTTTACCCACAAAGGTTGGCAGTAGCTCTTCAGCAGACACGAGCAGGATGGAAGCAAAAATTGCTGCAGAAATCAAATTTTAAGACCAGTGGAAAATAAATCTTTCTGCAACTTCGCATGAAAAAAAGAAAGCAAGTACAGTCATGTTCCTTGTGAACACAAGTGAAGGTGGCTTCTTCTGAGGCCTCCAATGTATCTAAACTAATCAATCCATGGATCAGGTCTCCACCATGTGGCCAACCCTCCTCTGCTGCAAACTGAAGTTTCAGGTTGGATTCCTTCTCTGATTTCAGATGAGCCTTATGGAGTGTCATCTAGGTTCGGTTTCGTGAATGGAATCTTTGCGAATGAAATTTTGGGTCTGATTATATCCTTTCTTGCAAATGCTTTAGGTGCCCCTGCACTTACCTGAAATTTCACTAATGATTTGATAAAGCCCTGATTACAGAATGAGAGAAAACATCCCCATTAGTGATGGCATCTTAAACAATTCTTTCTTCAAAACAGTTAAGTCTTAGTGCTTCCTGCTATGACTTCCTAACAAAAAGTGTGAAGGGTATTGGGACAGACTGCAATTAGAAATGGGCTCTCAATCTGCCTTATACCTTAATAAAGTGCAAAGATAGCTAGAAAGCGGAAGCACCAGCTTACATTATCATCACAGCCATCAGAGTATGCTCAATTCCTTGGTTAATAGCCAGAAATTGCAGTTAATCTCTAATATGTAAAAACTGATTGATTGGTATTAACCTTAAGAGATACATGGCAGGATTTTTTATTTCATCAAGGAGATTAATTAAAGAGCAAATACTGCATAACTGATGCGCCGAAGCTAGTTTTTGTTGTCTTGGTTTTTTGAAGTGGATATTCTCATTTTTCTATCCCTCTGGTTGTCTCAAAACGATGTGTTTGCCGAGTGCCCTTATGCAGATCAGTTAATCATTCACTATAGTAAAATGTCACTGATACACAACTCATCATGTTTGATTCCCTGTAAGGTTTCAACAGAGTGAGATGACAAATATTTTGTCACTGTAGTCCTTCAAAATATTTTGAAAATTAATTTCCTGCACGGATTGTGTAGGGGGATAATAAGCTTACTTATTCCACAGTTAATGTTTGCAAATTGATTTAACATTAGCAAAGATGAAAAACAATGCACATTAAAAATCCCAACATTCCATTCTACTTAGCAGTCACAGATAGAATAAGAAAATTACTGTTTTTAAAAGGAAAATAAATAGTTTCCTACATGACAATTAAATTCATTTCTCACTGGAGTTTAAAGAAGCAGCACTTCATGTGTAAGTGGAATAATTTCTTTTCATGGTTTTCTTTAACTCAAGAGTACTTGTCTTTAGAAACTTATGACCAACTACTGATAAATACAGTCATTCACCAGGCAGATCAGAGAAACTGTTATTCCTACGAGACCTTTAGGACAAGCACAGTCTATCTAAGAAACACCAGCACATGGAAACCAAATGCAAAACCTTTTTTATTCCCAAATTTAAATAAAACAGTTCATTTTCACAATGAAGCAAGGAATGACTGCAGAGCTTTATCACTGTACGGAATTGCCACCTACCATTCATGTAACTTAGTGCCCAATAACATATTTAGATATGCATATGAGTACAAGACCCCATTAACAGCAACAGTAGCTGTAATTTAGACAGAGCCTAAACCGGGTGGTCTAGATAGGACCTTTTACTGGTAACACACGTGCACTAGTATCTTTAGAAATACATCTTGTAATAAATGAAACTTCAGCTGTAAGTAGGAATATAAAACTAAAGACAGCCCAGGGAAAAAAAATTTTGGAACACGGTCATCAAGAGCTTTAATTACCCATAGCTTTTCTGGGAACAACTCAGGAGCTTTCTGTGTATGCATGCATAACGTGCATTGCTGTATCTTCAAAAAGGAACAACTTTGAAGAGAGATGACACTTCTCCTAACAGGACATGTACCGTTATGTAACCATTTACTACTTTATCACAGCATTTCCAAAGTAAACGAAAGAAGAAACAGCTCTACAGAAGATAAGGACACTTCAGCAGAATTACAAAACCAGATTTAATGTTAATTCTTGAAATGTAACAGGTTTCAAATTTCTACCAGTGCGCCTAACTGCAACATAACAAAATTTTAATGTTTGCAGTGTCATGTAAGGCAATTCTGTGTGAAGCTGTTACTTAAGACGACTGTGTACATATTGAGTTATCTGTATGACCTTGTCTTACCCCGTCCTCTTCTTGATTATTCCACTCAGAAGAGAGGATGTTGAGCCAGAACAGTCAGCAAGTTTCAATGCATACAAATAGTTGTAGTATCACATTTTATTTCTAAAAGTCAGAAGCTGATACCTCTTTTGTGAGCTATATTTGCATTCATGTGCATATGCTTTGGAAAGTTATTTCCTTTCCATTTCCCATCTGTTCATAAAACATATCTTGTTTTCCCAGAAACTTTTATTAACATTGGCCTTTGTAAACAAACACCATTCCCTGCTGCCCACTTTTTGCAGCAGTTCAAGTCCTAGCAGGCTTTGTACTGGTCTGTACCAGTACAGAGATATACCAGTATATATCCTGCACTGGATATTCTATTGTTTTAAACAATATAGAAAGCCAGTAACACCTTAAGTGCTGCTAAGCTCACAGTAACGTCAGCTTCCAGGATTCAAAAGCATTTAGAGACAAGTCTCTCTCTACTCCCAGTTCTAGGGCAGCAAGAATGAAAAGCAGCCACTGCCTAAGGAGCTTATGCAGTCACTTCCCTGGAAGCATTTCGATTTGCCTCCCATTTTGAATGTACAAACCATTGCCGTTTCCTTCTGAACATAAGCATGTGGAGGACCACTAGTTGAGCTCTGTATTCACGCCCTCCATAGCTTCCACCAAGCAGTGTGGATGCTCTCCATAACAGGCTTAGCAAGTCAGCTTAATAGCTGAATTCTAACCGGTATTTCTGCTCTGTGGCTTGTTAAATAGCCACTAGGATGAGGGAGGCTCTTCCTCTTAAAAAAAAATCCTGCAGGGAGATTCAGGTTGAAAAAATTCACCTATAAGCAGCATGTGGACAGACTCGCAACTGAACAGTAGTTAGGCTTTGATTATTCTAGATACCTCACCTTGTTTTCCTTTCAAAAAGTGTTTATGAAATGCAGGCTTGAGACACACTTTATCTACAAACAAGGAAATTCAGCTTTCGTAACTTGTAGTCCAAGTGTTCCCTTGTGCCTGTGCAGCTATCAGACTCAGGAAGGATACTGTGCATAAAAACCTCTGGGTCCATAAACTCTGAACTGGTGCCAGTTACGCTGCCCCTCCAGCCCAAATGCAAGAGGGGGCAAGTCACACCCAAAAAGTCATGTCTTCCCCACAGCTGTTTTTGGTATTAAGTATTCATCCTCCTCTGCAGAAACTACTGGTACCCAAAGTACATCTAAACAACAGTATGTTACAGCTAGTAATCGTGTTTCAGCCGCACAGATACCTGCAGAGAAAAGTCCTCTCAGGAAGAGGCACAGGGCACAGTGTAAGTCACCACAATGCAGTCAGCCATCAAGTATCCAGGGATTAACAGTGTCATGACTTCACTTTTTACAGGAATATAATTCCTTTTGGCCCCCCGTCCCCTCTCCCCAGCCAAAGCTGGTGTAGAGGGGGAAGAGGTAGAGTGTACTACATATCTTAAGAAACAAGCTTTTTCCTCAAAGAGCCCAGGTGCTTTAGGTGTTCCTGCTCTACCCTGTAATGCTCAGAAAGGAGACAACTACTCCGAACTACAGAAGTGTGGTACTTCTAGGTGACATAAGAAAACACTGATGATATTAAAGCCAAGTGGAGATGAGATGCTGCATGCAGGACATGAAAAGACTGGAAGATCTTTGTTACTAAGTACAAAGAACCAGAGACAGCATCACCTCTGGGTCACAGGACCAAGCCAGAACTCACTTAGGCACATTCTGGGGAGCAAGTAGATTTGAAGAATGAGGGTCCAGTTCAGTCACTTCTACTTTTTTAGTTGATAGGACCCTTTCCACTTCCCCTTTCAAATAGCTGTGTCACAAATACTACACTCCATTTTGTAACAGCTGTTAGCCATTCCCAAAGAGGGCTGCATTTCAGTAACTGATGAAGAGAGGCATGCATATAGGCTTCACTTAGCAATATGATTTAGGATTCTTATTTGATAAAAGTCCCAAGTGGAAAAAACAGACCAAAAAGTCAAATCATCTGTACACACTAGAATTTATTTAAAAAGTAAACTTTGGGCACACTGAAATTTTAAAAAAGGAAAAAAATACAAAGAGGATTCTATTAGATTAAGCAGTCAAAAGCCAGCAATATTACAAGCTGTTTACATACCAACATTTACATTAATTTAAACAAGTGGCATGTCACCAACATGTAAAACATACTTCAAAAGTTAAAAAAATCAAGTTGACTTTTGAAGGATAAAAGTCTACCACATGTGTGAACATGGGTTTGGTCATTCAGTTTAGAACCCCTCTCGCATCAAAATGTTCAGTCTTCAAATTATACAAGTGGATAGCTAGCAGCTGTTGCTATTCCACAGTGATTCTTCCTGTCCTTGGCCATGTAGATATATCCTTTGTCACCCCACTTCTCTCCCCAGCTGAAAATGAAAGTAGAAGGTTTGCTTTCATATTCAGAAGTGACTTTATTTACCCCCCCAGTTAAGTGTTTAGAACTGCTGCCTTCCACATTTGTGGAGAAAAATCACGATAGCTGCAGCCAAACTAAAGTGCTTTCCAGCAATTAAATGCAAGTTACAGAAGAGGCACCCCAAGCTCACAGAAATAAAGACTGCAGCCATCCTCTCACTAAGTGGAGATCATGATGTGCAATCCTGGATTACAGGTGCCTGAAGCTCAGACACTGCTACTAGCCAACTTTAAGGGAAGACAAAGACTGCAAGCAGCATTTGAGGGTGGTGGCCCAATAATGCTGAGAACATGAGACAAGTTCATGTGATGTGCCTTTTGGCATTGATTTATTGTTTTCCCTCCAACCTACGAGGTAACTCCATCTTTAAAGTTCAAGCGTTACCCCATTTCACACAAGTGAGCAGTGCTCTGCTTCCAAAACATCCATTACATCCCCACAAGCCGGCTTCCTCCCGCTCCCCTCTGCTGGAACACTTCAACAATCTACTAGCTTCATGGGCTGTTTAGTACTGAGCTCCCTTGAATTAACTGAAAAAGCAGAAGAACGAGTTTGCTGCTTTGGGCCTACTTTATTAGGCTGCCAGCAGCCCGAGTGGGGTTTAATTTGTGTCATACAATACAAGCTGAGAACAGTCTCCACATTTTTCACACACAGATTTCCATTACTGTTGTCTCCCCAGCCGCCACTACACATGACAAGATACCTTCCCTTCTCCCCTATCCCCATAGGGTACAAGGCACAGAGAGAAGGATCTTACCTGTTCTTAACAATCCAGTATTTCTTCCCATCTACATCTTCCCCCTCAAAGCCATAACCTACAACCAGAACACCATGGTCCAGGTCTTCACTGCTGCAGTCTGGTTCATAATAGATACCTGCAGAGGCACAAGCTCACATGTGAACAT